GCCGCCGGGCCGCGCCTGGGACAGGGACCGGCCCGCGGCGGTGGCGGCGGTGCCGCCGGGCGCCCGCGGGCTGCGCTGGGCCGGTGAGCGGGCACTGCGTCGGGTCGGGCACTGGGGAAGCAGAGCGGGAGTGGCCGCGCTGGGTGCGGTGCCGGGCCATGCCCGCCCGCTGCTGGGGGGTGTCGGGTTCGTCGGGGCCTTGTCGTGACCGGCGCTGCTCGACTCGTGTGCCCGTGCGTGGTGCCGGCGGCTGAGGGCAGGGCACCGCGCCGCGAAAGGGGAAGTGCGGTGTGCTGGGGGTAGAGCTGTCTTGTCTTCCTCCAGGCAAACTGTGCCAACATGCCCCCACAGAGACCTCCCAGGCCACCCTAGCCAGCGTATCTCCTGTATTTGCAGTGGTAAGTACTTCCTTGCAGGCATTTCCACCTGCGAGGGCACTGTGCAAGATTGCAAGATGATGGTGCTCTTTCCCTTCCTTCTTTTTTTCTTCTTTTTTTTCTTTTTTTTTTTTAAACTCTTAAAGCGTCATAAAAGCAGATGAAATTGTGTCTTGGATAACGCCCCGAGTTCTAAATTGCTGGTTTGAGGTACTCTGACGTGACGACCAGTTATGGTACACAGTATCAATCAAGATGCTTTTCTAAGGTCCAGCATCTGGTTCTTAATTGTGAAAGCAGGTCAGCTCTTGGAACTGTTGCAGTCAGAAGTTGTCTTGTTAAAGATTGTTAAGGCTTGCTAATGCCTTTTAGAAATATTAGTCCTATGTTTTGATAGCTGCAATTCTAACCAAACGTAGGATTTGATGAAAAACAAGCTCTCTCTATGTTTGTTTTTTTTTTTAAATGAGACTGAGAGCTGTTTGCCCCTTTATACCATGCTTTTACTTTTGGTCCGCCCTGAAGTGGTCAGGTAGTTGGATTCTGTGATCGCTGTAGGTCTCTTCCAGCAGAAAGTCTATGCTGTTCTAAGACTGATCCTCTGTAAATCACCTCCTTAACAAGGTTTATGTAGGAACATGGTAATGCAGGTGACACTGGTGGCAAACACAGTGAAATATATGGCCATTTGGTGCAATATTTTGCTTAATTGGGATGAACTGTGAATAGAGGGCATAAACAGTTGCTTTCTCTTAATAATGTGTTATCCACTGGCCTTCTAGGGAAGTGCAAATAACTTTAGAAGTTGATTTCTCGT